CTCCCCCTGCTTGTGTTCCCTCTCTCGCTGTGTCTCTCTCTGTCAAATAAATAAATAAAATCTTTAAAAAAAAAATTAAAAACAATCCGTGCAACAGGCAAATGTCTGAATAAATAAATCTGATTTGTCTTCAGATAGACTATCGTGTAGTAACTGAGATGATAAATATGAAAACTGGGATTGTATAAAATATGATCTAATGTTAAGTGAAAAATCAGAATTTAAGCTGTGTCTACAGGTGATGACAATGGGATAAGAACGTATATTTGAGCAAAGGTTAAAAGGAAATGTGCAAAGTATTTGCTGCGTGGAGGCAGGGGGATGCTGAATTAGGTTGTTTTCTCCTTGAATATTGTTATATTATTTTTACAATGAAAAGAAATGAGAGGGATAGTCTAGGCTCCGCCCCCGAATCAATCTGTGAATAAGCATTTGTTGGGCACCATTTCCACAGGTAATTTGTGTTAAGGGCTGAATTTAGAAGCGGCAGGGAGTAGGCTTGGGGGCAGGACTCGGTTTGGGGGCAGAGGTTGGTCCCTAAGAGTCTCACAGACTCTCAGAATGTCAGAGCCACAAGGGACCAGTCTAACACCTTTGTTTTATAATCTCGGGCCCTGAGGCCCAGAGAAGCTGTGACTTGCCCAGAATAACCCAGCAAACGCCTGGCTATTCCGCATAGGGTTAGGCATTCTCGCAGAACCAACTGGCGGGCCTTCCCTCACTCCCCCTTCCTCAGGGCACCTCCACATCCCTGAATCGCTGCAGATGGGTGCAGAGAAGGCAACCAGACAGAGGGCACTCTTCTAGTGCAGAGGTGGGGGCTGGGCAGCCCAAGCGGGGACAGAGGGCACAGCGATGCTGCTCCTAGGCGGTAAACCCCCGTTCCACGATCATCTCCACAGGACCCTGAGTGGGCTCAGCCAGACCCAGCCCTCCCAACAGCACGCGGGGTTGTCCCGGACTGTCCGGCTTTACCCAACCGCCGCAGCCAGCGGTCAGCTCACCTCCAATGCCCTGCCCGCAGGGCCAGGCCTTGAGCGGAGGGATGGCGCCCAGCAGGCAGCGTATCTGGACCGCCTGTCATCCCCCTGGGGTAAGGATGCCCTGTCTCAGGGTCCTAGGAGAGCAGGGCATCTAAATCTCTGACCTTCTTGTCCCCGCTTTTGCCTCCCCTCCACTCTCACGGGCCGGCCGAGTTTCACCTGTCCCTCATCCTCTCAGCCAATCAACCAGCAGTCGCCAGGTGCCTGCTTTGTGCTGGGCTCCAAGGGTCCCAAACCATCTGATCGGGGACTTTGCCCCTATCACACATCCTGCCTTTGCTTCCTTCATATCCAGCCATGAACCTCCCCTCCCTGGCCCTGCTCCCTCCACCTTATCCTTCCTGCAAACCTCCTGGACCAACCTGAGCAGTTGCTTTCTTAGCACCCACAGCTGGGCTTCTGCGTTCTAGAGGAGACAGCTGAGCATCCCTGTGGGTTCACGCCTCGGCACATTCTGCTCCTTGCCCAACAGTCCTTTCCTTTGTGCCTGCTCCCTCTCTCTGTCTCTGTCTCTCTCTCTCTCGTCCCTCAGAGCAGCTACTCCAAGCTGCCCCCCACTTTCCCAAGCCCCATCCCATCAGCACATGGGCACGCCTGCCACCTCTTGGAGAGCTCCTCACCTTCCTGCCCATCTGCCCCACCGTGCACACCACTCCCTTACCTAAACCCGTGCCTGAGCTCACCTCCTTTCTTTCCTTGCCATGGTAAAAGTTGAAGTGAAATTCACATAAAATTAACCATTTTTAAAGTGTACACATCAGTGGTTTTAAGTGTATAATTTTGTGCAACCGCCATCACTATCTAATTCTAGAACATTGTCATCACTCCCAAGAGAAACCCTGTACCCATTAAGCCTCTTTCCCCCTCCCCCAAGCTCCGGGCCCCACTGATCTACTTTGTCTCTAGAGATTTGCTTACCTTGGACATGTCCTAACAGAGTCTGCACAGTATGTGGCCTTTGGTGTCTGCTGCAACTTAGTATCATGTTTTCGAGGTTTATCCCTGTCAGTACTCATTCCTTTTTGTAGTCCATGACCTCCTTTCTTGCCATCTTGAAAAGGGCATGTCCCCCTTCTTGATTCCTCTAGGACGCTAGACCGTCTCTTGTCCTCCCCGCAACACCCTCTCTCCTCCCTCTTCAGCCTGCCCCCCCCAGCTCCTTCCCACCAGCAGATACACTTGGTTCCCGCTCCCATTCTCACACACACGCTTGCACGCGTACACACATCCACAGAGTTCTTTCTCTACTCCCCTCGGGCTTCCTCCCTGTCTCCCCCCCCTTCCCAGGCTAGCTTCTTGAACACACGGTCTACACAGACTTTTGTACTTCCCTCCTCAAGCCCTCTCCCTCTGGTTTCCCTCCCGCGGCTCCCCACGCTGAATGAATACCCCTCCTTTGTATTTCCACCTCGACCATCTGTGTTACAGAACCGGCTTGCATGGCTGCGTGCCCTCCCAGCTGGTCTCCCTGCCTCCCCGCCCCCTGCCCACTCCAGCTGGGAGGGCGCCAGTCCTCCACGAGTCCTCTTTGATCTCTCCCTGAAAACTTTCAAAGGCTTCCCACCACCAACCAAATAAAGGGCCCGTCCTCGTCCTCGTTCTGGCAATCAGGGCATCCACAGCCTGACTCTAGTCGTTCTGGCAGGCTCTGTCTTCCTCCCCTTCTCTTCGAAAACTCCCCTCTGGCAAGTCACAGCTACAGTCAGTCCTCTGCCCGCAGGTTCCACGCCCGACTGCGGCACTTGCCCGCTGTGTGCCACGGGGCAACGCAACCTTCTCTGGGCCTCAGTTTCCTTAACCGTAAAATAGAAATATCAGATTGGGTACAGGAACATGGTCAGTATTCGGCCATTGTAACCTACACAAATGGCAATTTCTAACGGTTCCACCGAAAAGGGTGCGCCCCCAAGAAGGACAAGAGTGAATGTGCATAAAGCACGAGCTTAGTGGTTGGCACGTTGGCATCCCTCAATACACGTTGGACTATGAGCTTCTCAAAGGTACCACCACCCTGCTCCCACTGTGGGACCTTGCTTCCAGTAGGCACTTAGCAAATGCCCTTGGGATGGATTCACCCCTGACCCCGTGGGCCTTTCTAACCAGCCTCTGGAGGTCACAGCTGTGCCTCTCAGCCCTGCCCCCTGGACCCAAGCCCTCTCTCTGCAGGGCTGAACCTCACTGAGAAAATCAAGAAGATCAAGATCGTCTTCACTCCCACCATCTGCAAGCAGACTTGTGCGCATGGACACTGTTCCAACAGCTGTGAGCGTGGCGACACCACCACCCTATATAGCCAGGGTGGTCATGGGCACGACCCCAAGTCCGGCTTCCGAATCTGTGAGTCCCTTCCCGCCCCGTCCTCAGGGGGTTCCCCGGCCCTGGGGAGGGGCAGGGTGCCCAGAGGGACAGGCTTGCCTTGAGCAGGAGCCCAGACCTTCTGCAGGAAGGAAGCCTACTGCTCTCATACTATGGCTTCTGTGAGTTGTCCCCAGTCACACAGAATGCTGAGTCCTCACCCAGCTCTGTGACAGCCTAGCTGTGTGGCTCTAGGCAAGTCCCATAACCCACCTGAGTCCATGGTTCCCCCGCAGAGAAGTGAGGGAGTTAGTAGAGTTAGTAGAGTTAGCCCTCCTGTCCCCCAGGTTATTGTGGGATCCCGGGAAGGTGTGAAAGGGCTCTTCAGAAAGGCAACAGCCGGCTGTTATCTACCCTTCCTCACTCCCGGCGTCCTGGAAAGTCCCTGCATTTCAGGGTGGGCTGGGCTCCCCGGGCCATCCAGATTGGAGTGCCTGCTCCCCCTGCTTCCCTGTGGTCACGCCCCGGCCCCGCGGTGGGCACTGCTATGTTGTTCTACCACTGGTCACCTTGAGATCAATGTTGTAGATTTCTGCCAGATCCCCTGCCTGAACGGGGGCCGCTGCATCGGCCGGGATGAGTGCTGGTGCCCTGCCAACTCCACCGGAAAGTTCTGCCACCTGCCCTCCCCGAAGCTGGACACGGGGCCTCCGGAGAGGGGCTCCCGCCACGGGGCCCTGCGGGAAGGCCCCTTGAGGCAGTCCACCTTCACCTTGCCTCTCTCCAACCAGCTGGGTGAGTGTGGGGCTGGGGGGTGCACTGGGCCACGGGCATGGGGGTGCCGGCATCGTGGTGGAGGGCACAGAAGCTGCCTCCAGTCAGACCTCCCTCCTTCTCTGCCCCCGGGGCTCAATTTCATTTCCTAAACTTCTCTTTGCCCTTCCTCCGAATTCATCAATAATTTTTTTTTTTGCCCTTGCTCCCTACTGGGTGCTATGGATGAGACAAAAAAGTATAAAGGCGGGGGTCCTGCCTTCAGGGAACCCTCAGCCCTGGACAAGACAGTGGGGCTGGATAGGAAGAATGGAACGTGCCTTCCATTATCAGGTGCCACGTAAAAACTACCAAAAATACAGACTTCCGTAGGAGGTCAGGGGGAGGAGAGCCCCCTAACTGTGCTCAGGAAGGCTTCGTGGAGGAGGTGGACTTCAGCTGGCCTTAAAGGGTGGATAGCCTTCGATTAAGCAGAGAAGGTGGGAGGGGTTCCCCTGCGCAGGGACCAGCATGAGCCACGGTGTGGAGGTGGGGCCCTGAGGGGTCTGTCGGGCCAGAGTTCAGGGGTTGTGCAGGATGGCGGGAGGAGGTAGAATCAGGAAGGTAATTTGGAGGTTGAGCATGAAGGTCCTTCTTTGGAAGGTGCAAAGTGAAGGAGTTTGTGCTCCATCCTGTCCTCACTGGGGAGTTGTTCTGGGTTTGAGCAGAGAGTGGAAAAATGGAAGGAGAGTTCGGGGGAGACATAGAGCCAGTGGCCTGGCCCAGGGGTGCTGGGCCCTCTTCAGAAGGTGGGGCCCTGTTGCCTGGCTCTGACCCAGCCCCTGTGCCCAGCCTCCGTGAACCCCTCCTTGGTGAAGGTGCACATCCACCACCCGCCGGAGGCCTCCGTGCAGGTCCATCAGGTGGCTCGGGTGCGGGGCGAGGCCCCGGAGGAGAACAGCGTGGAGACCAGACCCTCGCCCTGGCTCCCCGCCAGCCCCCGCCATAGCCACTGGGACAGCAACAGCATCCCTGCACGGTCTGGAGAGGCCCTTCAGCCACCGCCCCCGGCAGCACCCAGGCCTCCAGGAGGGCTGGGCCGCTGTTACCTGAGCTCTGTGAATGGGCAGGTGAGAATGCGTCCCCTGCCTCAGCCCTACAGGCTTCCAGAATAGTGACTGCTCCTCACTCTCCCCCTTCTTCTCTCTGCTCCTCGTCCTTACGGAATGTATGTCCGCAGAGTCTCCTATTCGCCATATGGGAAAATGTAGGGCATAAATTGTGTGAGCAAGGAGAGGCCTCCTTACTACCTAGGCTCCACTGGATACTTGTCAGTGCCAGGCACGCCGAAGAAGCCCCAAAAGAGTCCCCCTCTGGAAGGGCACCAGCATCTTCTGGTCCCAGTAAACCCTGGCCTGTCCTGGAGCCGAGCCTAGGACTCCCGGTGCATAGACAGTAGGGCTGTTAGATCCTACAAGAAAAAGCATGGTGTTCCATTGAAATTGAAGAGCACAGAGATGTGGATAGGTTAAACCCTAAAGCTTTGGGGGTAAAAGATGAGAGACACCCCATCCCTCCTGGAGGCATCCATAGTCAGTGATGGGAAATCAGGGGAGTTTTTCTGAATCTGGGCACCTAAAAATATGGGCTAAGCCAGACCTAGGATGGTTTTTGTTAGAGTTGCATTTTGGCATTTCCAGAAACCCCTCCTGAGGTTAGGGAACTGGAGGAGGTAGGGAGTAGCCAAGGGATAGGGACTCTGAGTCCCCAGATCCTCCTTGGCCTCTCAACTTGCAGTGTCCCTGAGCCTAGACCCTGTTCATGGGGAAGGCTTGCATCGTAGGTGACCCTATAGTTCCCTGGAGTTTGATGGAGGAAAGCCCATCCTTTGGGACCCTCTGTGGGCTGGGGACATGGAAGGGGGATGTTTGCAGTCCTGCACAGAGCAGATCTTATCTGGGTGTGCCCTGCCCCCAAGTTTAGGGTTTGGTGGGATAGACTGCAAGGTTCTCTGCCTCCTTCCGGGCCATCCCCTGACTCTCCCCTCTCCTCCCTTTGGTGAGGCATCCCTGGAGCAGGATATTGGGGTTGAGCCCTCGCCTCGGGTTTTCCTGGGACAGCTCTGGCACAGCAGGAAAGGGAAGAGGGAGTGATGGGTGTCCATGGCCTCTTTTCCAGTGTGCCAACCCCTTGCTGGAGCTGACTGCCCAAGAGGATTGCTGTGGCAGTGTGGGAGCCTTCTGGGGGGTGACCTCATGTGCCCCATGCCCACCCAGACCAGGTGAGTGCTAGGTGCGGGGGTGTAGGGTTTGGGGCGCAGCTTTCCCAAGGCCTGGCCTCCGCTTCACCTCCCACCAGGGTCTCAGAGGCCAGGCAGGGAGAACAGGCTGGTAAACTGGGCAGGCTTTCCAGATCTGCCTTGAGGGTGCTTCTGGCTGGTGGCTGAGCCTCCTGACAGCTCAGACGGCTCGCGCCCAGGTGCAGCCTGGACTCTCTGCTCTATCTGATTGCCCGGGAGGGGTTCCTCCCTCATGCTAGTTGTTCTTGCTCAGATTGTAGGGGTCCCATGCCATGCTGGGCCCCCTTCTACATACCCCCCTGGCCAGGCATCAGGGGCCCAGTGATCTTGATGTAGTGACTCAGCGTTTCCCTCATTCTCTCCCTGGAGGGACCTCACCTCCTCCCCTCCTGTTTCCTAACCCAGTCAAGGTTGGGTGTCTGTCCCAGAGGGTCCTCTGCCTTGGGATATGGGAAACCCAGTTCCCTGCTCTCTTTTGGATGGTGGGAAAAGCCTAACGTGTATTCATTCATTCATTCATTCATTCGCTCGTTCGTTCATTTATTCGGCAAATACTCACCAGGTGCCTTGTGTGTGCCAAGCACTGAGGATTTGGGAGTCAGCGAAATGCCTGTTCATGCTGCTCTCCTAGGCATCGATCTTACGGTTGGGAGGTGGGTGATGAGGTGCCTGTGCCCAAGGATAGCTTCTGCCCACTCGGCCTGTCTTCTCCCACCTGGCCCCACTCCCGGGGTCTGGGCCCAGGCCTGGCATGGATTTCTTTTTCCTGTCAACAGTCAACTTGGTGAGTTGGCTTTGTAGGGGGCCTGGCCTGGAGCCCACAGGTGGGAGGGGCAGGGCTGTTCCTAACTTCAGACTTGGTTGTGGAGCAGGGACCATATTTTCCAATTTAAAAATAAGTGTGGCCGGTTTTGCAGTGTGATGGAGCTTCCAGGCTAGCTGTGAGCTTCCAGGCTTGAGCACCCAGCACGGAGCAGGTACTTCTGCTGGCTGACCTCGTCTCCGCGCCATCTGCATTCTGCAGAATGGAGACAGTGGGGCTGCTGTGGCGAGTAGGTGAGGCATGTGCTTAGCATCAGGTCAGTAAACAGTAGCTGTTATTATTATTGCTGCGAAGTATCCCTCCACAAAGGGAAAAGGGCAGGGACCCACTGCCCCGAGGCAGAAGAGGGCCTTGAACTGCTCAGCGTCTCCCCCTGCAGGCCAGAGATGTCTCACCACTTTTCTTCTTGCCCTCTTTCCCTTCCTCCGGGTTAGGTCCACCCTTGAGACTTCCACATCCCACATCGCATTCAGTCAACGGATATTTACATTAGTGAAGCAGCCATTTGAAGTGCTCCTAGTGTGTGGGCCCAGGAAAGACAGTGGAGGCTGAGCCAGAAGCAGTGTCTCCTTTCTCCAGGCTTACAGTCTCGGGTACGGGGGGCGTATACAGGTAGCACTAACTAGACAAATGCCAGATGCGGTGGGAACACAGCGGAACCGGGACCATAGGTCCTATAGCACCTTTGCACAAATCAGAGAAAGGTGCCACTTCCTTTGTTCAAAACAGTCTCTACAAATACAAATCTAAGATGCCAGCGATTCTCTGAGATGTGGTGCTTTTGTGCAGTGGACAACCTGCACATCTGTTCACTGTGGGGTAGGGGATCCTAGCTCAAATTTGTGGATCAGGGAAAGCTTCTTATAGGGGGTGACATCCGGGATGAGATCTGAAGAATTATTAGAGTAGGCCAAAGAGATGGGGAAGAGCTTAACAGCTCAAGGAAATTGCAGATGCAGGTGAGACCAAGAGAGTGAGAAACTTTTCCTGGAGCATGGCACACCCAAGGCTGTGCCCTCACCTCCTCCCTGTCCCAGTTAGTGCCTCCCACCCCCCTCCCCCACTGTGTTCAGCACATCTCAGCAAGCCGGGCACCAGGGTGCAAACCCTGGAATGTCAAGCATTCCAGCACACAGAGCAAGAAATAACAAAGACCAGGGAACGTAAACACTTCCAACACGTTCAAGCGCAGTGGCATTGTATAGAGAAGGGGCAAGATGCTGAGGAACCTTTTTTGTGTTGACAGGATGCCAGATACCTAGCTCCACGCCTGAGCCTCGGGCTGGGGGTTGGGGATGTTTCTCTAAGTAGGTATGGGAAGCAAGCTACCTTGCAAGAGTCAGAAGAAGAAAAGGTGAGCTGCTGGGTAGGTTTGGGAATGGTTGGCAAGGCAGGCGGGACTTCTGGGTTCTAGAACATTCCTAGGCCTGGTGGCTTTGCCCCTCTGAGCCTCTAAGTCTCCTCTGATGAAATAAGGCTGTGTCCTTCAGGGAAGGGCTTTGTCATCCCCAACAAGGTCATCTAGCAGAATCAGGGGATGAAGGGAGTAATAAAGCCAACAGCTGGGGAGCTATGTGACTTCCTAGCTTCCCCTAAATCACCTTTTGGCTTCTGAGGCTCCATGCTGGACTGTCAAAGAAGGCCCCTCCAGAACAATGCTATTTCTGATGAGGAAAGAAACTGCCTTGAAGTCTCGTTTATGTGGCACAGATAAATCCCTTTTCTTCTGGAAAAAATTCTCCAGTGCTCTCTTTCTCAGGGAGATGGCTCAGGGAGTCCGTTTAGGTCAGCCTCTGATCCCCTCCCTTCTTTCTTCCTTTACTCTGGGTGACAGATGCAGCCGACCTTCCAGAAGGCGGCCTGAACCCCATCTTCCTGACCCTCAGGAGTTTTCAGAGCCTCTGCAGTTCCCCTGTCAGGGTCCAAAGAGCGACAGCTCTCAAAAGCCACTTTGATTAAGGCCACATTTTTGAGTTTTTGTCTGAGAAAGACAGACATCTGGGTTGACTGGAAAGTTGGCCGCTGCCTCATCTGGCTTGGCACCAGCTGTGTCTACCCCCAGGCCCCTTCGCTGGGGTGGGCGGGGCTGGCACCCTGCTCTCAGCCCGCAGTGGTGGGCTCCAGCTGTTGGCCACGAGATCATCTGTCCGTCTGCCTGGCATGGGATGAGGTGACCTCAAAACCCAGGCCCCTGCCTGTCCCTCCAGGGACTGCTGATTCTCTTGCTCCACCCCTTCAAGGAATTCTGCATCTTTCCCTCTTAAAAGCAAGGATAGCCCCTCTTGCTGAACGTTCACACACTACACTGGGCTCTTCCCCACCTGATCTCATGAAATTGTCGCAACCACGTGCAAGCTAAGGGTCTTTATGCCCGCTTGACAGATGAGGAAGATGAAGCTCAGAGAGGGCTGAGCAACTTGTCCAAGGTAACACAGCAGAACAGGGGAGCAGGGCTTCAAACCACAGTGTGTCTGACTCTCAGCTGACCGGAATCTCCCGAATCATTCTGGGGAGACTTGAGCCCGCCCAAAGACAACAAAAACCAGGACCTTAGACTCAGGGTTCACAGCCAGGAGGGGGCCGCCCGGCGTCGTGTCGCATGAGTTATGTGCATGTGAAGGACAATATCCCTCAAGAAGATGTGGATTGGATAGACAGGCAGGCAGCAACCTACAGCTCAGGCCTAAGTGTTCACGGAGATGTGCTGGACGAATTGTCCCAGAGCAAAGGCGGTAGGCTTGTTCCATGTGGTTCTGGGGGGCTAACGCCAATGTGTGGATGTTTCTGGTGAGCAGAGCTCAATTCGAAACTGAGCAGAAGGAACAGCTTATTAAAAACTGCAGCTTACCAAAACCCAACGATACAATGGGGCATGCCCAGAAGTACGTCGCTCCCCACCATGGAGAGGAAGCCTGCTAAGAACTGGCTCATAGAAGGAGCTGGAAAGGATACTGCTTTTTGAGGGAGTGGAGGTTCCTATGTATGTGTCCGAAACTGTGCTGGAAACCCTCAGTAGAAGGCAAGCTTTGGTTTGCCTTGGCTTTGCCAGGGCCCTTGCCCAGGGACCGGCTCAGGGGAGGCCAGGCCCTGCGGAGGGGGGCACGTGTGAGGGGGCGTGGGCAGCACCAGGGCAAGTCACAGCAGCAACCCTGTTTTCGTTACCATTGCTGTCCGCAGCCGTGTGCCAGGCACCATGCTAAGTGCTTCCTCATTCCACTGCATCCTGACCACGTCTCTGGGAGTTGGGTGTGACCTTCTTCGTTTTACAGGTGAAGAAGTTGTGTCTACGTGACCTGAGGCCCCCTGCCTCTCAGCGGCCTGTGATCTGCCTCCTAGGCTGCTTCTTGTGCACTTGGCTTGGGGAATTTGCTCAACTAGAGGACCCCAGCTTAGGGAACAGCTGTGCTGGGGTGGGGCTCCTGTTCTCTGGGACTCCTGCCCTCAAGAAACGGGATTTTTCAGAGTTCCAGTTGTTGGACTGAAAAAAAGCAGTGTCTCTTTGGCTCAGGGATGTTCTGAGAGCTTCTTCCAAGGGACTCAAGGCCTCCAGGGAATTGTGCCTCAGCTCAAGTTAGCGCCCTCCTTACCCCAGGGCGGGGGTCACCAACACGTGGCGTCTCTGGCCTGGAGAGGTCCATGCGGGGGCTGCGGTGGGGTTGGCTGGAGTGGCACCTGTCTGAGCCAAGGGTCTGACCGGACCCCTCTCCACCCCACTGCTTGTGGTGACCAAGACACCCACTTTGGCTCTTGTGCTACCCCAAGGAAGCAGTCAGAGTCCATCTTTGGGTCTGGAATAATGAGCCTTATAATAATCACCAATACGTGACAAGGATCATGCTCAGAGTTTTGCATGCTTTTTTACTGTTCACAATAGCCCCAAGGAGGGAATTGTCACCTACATTTTACTGATAAGAAAACTCAGAGAGGTTGAGCAACTTGCCCAAGTGTCTCCAGCCAGTGAGGCGCAGCAGCCTGCTTGCTAACCTTGAAACTGTGTTGAAAGAAGGAAGGAAGGAAGGGAGGGAGGAAGGGGAGGAGGGAGGGAGGGAGGGAGGGAAGGAAGGAAGGAAGAAGGGAGGAAGGAAAGGAAGAGGGAGGAACTAAGTCTTAGGGAGCATCTATAGGGACTGTGCCAGGCATGTTGCTAGCTTCAGTCTGACACAGATTCTCAGTGAACTTAACCTTCACAACCCATGAAACTGAGTCTCTGTCCCCACTTCTACAGGTGAAAAAATGAAGACTGACAGAGGTTAAGAAACGTGCTTCGGGTCACACAGCTAGTCAGAGTAGAGCCAGGAATTCGATGGGGTCTGGCTGCCGGAGAACCCACACTCCTTCCACTGCTCTGGGGGATTAGAAGGTTCTTTGCAGCTTACCCACCCGAGACTTACAAATCGAGGATTCAGCTCCAGTCCACTCACATGCCCCAGTGCATCCAGCTCAGCCTCACCCGGGGTGTGTGTGTGTATGTCTGTCTGTCTGTCTTCTGGCAGAGTGGTGTATGGCAGGGTACCCTCCAGAACTCCCTGCTGGGGCCATCTGTCATCACAGGCTGAGATCTGCATGGCTTGTAAACAGCCCCGTGGCCAGACATATGTCTCCACCATCTCTTCCCTGAACTCTGTTGTAGAGTCAGGTCCAAAACTGTCTCCAGGAATTAGTCTGTCCTGGTTGAGGCCTCCTTGGGAGCCCCAGCAGCCAAGGGGGAGAGTCAGCAGGGCAGGGGCAGGCCGCACCCAGGGGCCCCTCTGCTTCCTTCCCCAGTGTGTGAGCTGGCCCAGGTACAGTGGTGAGGGGACAGGGCTGGGGTCAGGGGCCAGAAGACCTGAGTTCTGGCCCACATGACCCACGTTTCCGTACCAAGAAAGTTATGCACGTCTGCCCTCCAGGCTTCACGGACATTCTGTGATGCTCAGATTCCTGGGAGTTGGCGTTGATCCCAGCTGACCCCTCGGCATCTGCTTGGGCTTTCTCAGGCCTACAAGGCCCAACTGCAAGGTCGCTGGCAGCTGTCCACATGTCTCTTTGAAGCACCCATGGGAAACACGGCTTAGCCACTCTTTCCAGATCTACTTCTCTCTGCTTCCTGACCCCAGCGTCCTCCTTGCGTCGGCTGAGGGGCCGTGAGGGGTAGTGTGGGTTCTGCCCCATTGCCTTTATTCACTCCGCTTGACACTTCAGTGGTAGACCTTGTGGGTCATTTACCCAACCGCTGATGAGTCCTTTGGCCATCTCTGACCATAAGTCCTCTGGCCCATCTCCTGACCTCCTCCTGGGTATCCCTGCCTTTGTTTTTCCCATTTGCTCTCCTGAACCCATGTTAAAAAAAAAAGGGAAGAGAAGTTCCCAAAAAGGGAAATATACTTCCTGATGAGCACGGGTTTCCCTGTAGCCTGCAGACCCTAGGATTCCTGCCTGGACAACTCCTGAGGCTTGGTATGAGTTGACTCATTTATTTATTTGGAGGCAGTAGAGAGGAGTGGTTCACAATCTATCCTCTGGCGGCAGACTGCCTGGGTTCATAATCCCAGCTCCATCCACCAGCTGGGAGACCTTGGGCATGTTTCCTACCTCTCTGTGCCTCAGTTTGCTCCTCCATAAAATGGGGAAAATATTAGTAAGTTCCCTCGAGGATTATTATGAGGATTAAATAAGTTAATACGTGTAAGGACTTTATAATAAGGCCTAGCCCATAGTAATGCTATTTTAGTGTTTGCTCTTATTATTCGTTCCATCTTGATTGAGTGCCTCGAGGGGCACCTGGGTGGCTCAGTCAATTGAGCATTCGACTCTTGATCTCAGCTCAGGTCTTGATCTCAGGGTTGTGAGTTTAAACCTCACATTGGGCTTACCAAAAAAAGATGATTGAGAGCCTGTAGTGTGTGCCAGATGCCGTGCTGTGCTGGGCTCTAGGGATGTAGCAACGATGAACACAAGGTTCCTGTCTTCACGGAGTGTATACTTTAGTGGTGGACATGGACAAGCAAACAGGCCGTCATAACAGCATTTTAAGTGCCATGGCAAGGGAAGGCCTGAGTGTGTTGGGAGGCAAGCTAGCGTGGGTGGCTGGGGCAGTGGCTCCTGCCCTCCCCGCCTCCGGGAATCACACAGCTCGCCGGCTGCCAGGATCAGGCCTGGAGCCACGGGTGGGTGCTGAGTTCCACCCCGAGCCAAGGTTCTCCCTTCCACGTGGCTGTCTAGACTTCAGCCTGCTATCCCCGGATGAGACTGAAGCTGACTTTTCTGGATTGGATGCTGCACTTGGTCTCACAGAAGCTCGTGGGTGGCCTCTGGGAGGTGTGAGGCAGGGTCTGAGGGCCCTCTTTGGGATCAGGTTGGGGTTGCTGGCAAAATGGGAATTTCACCCGGGACAGTGGCTTTGAAATTTGTTCCTCTCTAAAGAAGTCTGCCTTCACCAAGAGTTGCCCCTCCAACAGTTTCTCTTAAGGCTAGCGAGAGAGCAGAGTCCTCTGGGGAAGAAAAGGAAAAGCACGTGAATCCCGATGAATGAATGAATGAACACAG